GGAGAAAGCCTCCCAGCCTACTCAAGCTGACACTGCCCCCTCTCCTCAGTCGCACTGGGAACACTTATCCTGCATTATTTTGGCCACATATCACTCATCATCATCAGAAATGAAATAATCTGTTTACTGTTTACTCCAACAGAAGGTTAGTCCCATGAGGACTGGCCTTTGTCTATCTTGTTACACACTCCGTGTACCCCCAGGACCTAGAAAGCGCCTGTCACCTGGTGTATGCTAAATACTTGCTGAAGGAGTGAATTAATAATAACAGAAATAATACCACCTATTATTTACAGCTGAGCACTTACTATGGCCTATGAATTATCTCAGTAATCTTAACAGTGCTATGAAGTTCAATACAACTATTACCATGTTTTACAAATGGGGACCTGAAACTAATAAAGCTACTCTGCTTACTTACCCAAGGTCAGACATAGAGTAAGTGTGGGACTTGAACCTAGGTCAGATGCACACATGTGTGCGCACGCACACGCACGTGTGTGCACTCTTTACAGGTGAACTGGCAAAAAGAAGAATACAGGAAACAGGATAGCTACCAGACTACCCAACACTCCTCCCAGGGCTTGGGAAGATGACTGGAGTCAAAGCTGGACCAATTTGTTCCTTCTGTTTTTCATTCTCCTAAGTGTTCGTGAAATACCACGGCCAACCCTCCATGACTGAGGACCCCTCACTGTGCTCAGCAGTCAACCACAACACACAGTAAGTAGCACGGTCCAAGGCTACGGTCCCCAGACAAATGTAACCTAACGCTGACTCTTTCTGATAATGTCTGAGCTTCCATCCTCTCGTTAGATACAATGACGGTCTACCAAATATTTCCAAGGATAAGTAGAAATACAACTAGCCAGATTGCTTAGGTTTTTGACTTGTACAATAAAGGCAGTAAATTGACCCTGTATGACTCAAGATCATTAAACAGCTGGTACAGACACTCATACTTTGACTCACGGTCAGCAATAAACTTTATGATCTTTAAGATATCAGTTTTTTGGTACCTTGATTTCTTTTTATATATAAAGAAATATAATCACTACCCAAATCTGGGGTGTTGGATACATTTTGATATTAACTCCTACTGAGATACTACAGACTTGCACTTGAGTTCATTTTAAAGAGAAAGAAATAAGACCTGAGGCCATGATAATCGCATAGACTGTTAATCATTTAAATTCATGCTACTTAGGATAAAATTATATGGGCAAAATACACATTAGTGGCACAAAACCTCAATGTTTACTTGGTATATTTGGATACAATACATCTCTTATATACAGGTACAAACTACTATATATATATATATATAATAGGTAAACAATAAGGTCTGACTATATAGCACAGGAAACTACACTCAATATCCTGTAATAGACCATACTGGAAAAAAATATGAAAAAGAATATATATATAACTGAATCATTTTGAATCAGAAACTAACAACACTGTAAACCAACTCTAATTTAATTAAAAACATATACAGCTACACACACATATATCAGGTTATTTTACAGGAGGATAATTATATTAATCCACTACAACTAGACTCAAGCTTTAAGCTATTTTCCAATACAAAATATCAAAAACGGTAGGAGATATATACATCTAGCATCAAGAATGGAAAATTGTGACTATTTTGCTATTATTTCTGAAAAGAAATAAAATGTTACAGATAAAGTGGCAGTTTTCCTTGTCCTCTTTGTCCCCCCCCCCCCCAGTCCCCTTTTTTTAATGTCCTGTCCGGAAAGCTAGGGCTAATATGAACTCAGAATGCATTTTTCCTCTCTAAATTAAAATTTTTCTATATAACTAGGTATATCCATAAAAATATGCATAACTTTTGAAATGCATTGTTAAGATTTGCATAATTGTACCAAACTGTGTATCATTCTGAAATTTTCTTTTTTCCTCCATTCAGCATCATATTTTTGAGAGCTTTTCATGTTGACAGACCAATCTAGTCCATTCCTTTTAACTTCTGCATAATATTCCACCTTATGACTATGCCATATTGAACGTATCCATTTCCCAATTGATGGATATTTAGACTAATTCTCTTTCTCACTGTTAAAAAGCTTCCAGAAGCAAGTAAGCATCTTTGTACGTGTCTTTCTGCATGTGTGTAAAAGTTTCTCCAGGCAGGTATATACCTTAAATTGAACATTTCAAGCCGTAGGAAATATCCAACCTGCGCATTACCATGGACTCCTGAACTGGTCTCCACAGTGGTTATCTAGGTCATGAATTTGCAGGAGCTGCTTTTACTCTTGTCTGGTGCACACCTCAATGACCACCACCACCTCGGCCCATGAGAAGCTACCACAAAAGCTACAGCTCATACAAAGTTAGTCCTGCTCTCTTTAGCTCAGTGAGCGCCTCAGTCAGTGCAGCCACCGAAGGTGGAAGAGAAAACAAACCAAATATGATACCAATAAACAAAAGCCCCAGATTCACTTACACTACCTTATAACAATGGCCTTTTGCTTTGAACTATGAATAGCTCAATAATAAGTAATGCTGCTATTAACAAGTCAGCCTGGTAGCTATGATACAACATGGCAATATATTTCTCAGCAAAGATGTTCTTTTCAGGGGGCTATAAAAACCCAGTTACTCCCTTTCAGCTCTTGATTATAAATTCTTCTACTTTTGAAACTCTACAGCTTACAGTTTAATGAGAATCTATACTTGAAATAGCTGTAAGAGACTTTTCCTATAAAAATGAATATCAATGTCTTTGAAGGTAAAGTGGGAAAGGAATAGAAAACATAGAAATCTATCTATATATAAACAATAATAGCTATGATTACAAAAATTCTGTACCCCAGCTATTACAGTGATAGTAGCTTATGATCACCAAGACCTAAAAAATAGCATGAAGGAGAATATAAACAATCTACAATAAATTAGGAGGAGAAAATCTCAGTTTGACCAAAATGGTTTTGAGTGTGAATTATTTATTTTGAAAACCACAAACATCTTAACTTTGCAGCCTTAATGATCTGTACACTTCTACATTATACTAAGTCATGGTATTTTTATCAGTTCCAATGAGTCTTGTAGCTGTGAGCAACATAATAATCAAAAGATTGACAAAGTAATAATTTAAAAAATCAGCTGAACTCCTAATATATGCCAGTCATTGTTCTAAGCAACTGCCTCATTTAGTCTTCATGAAAAATAAGTAAACAAAGAGGTCAGTACTAATGATATGCCTATTTACAGATGACAAAACAGAGTCACAAAACACTACGTAACCTGTCCAAGGCCACATGGTTCCAAGCGGCAGAGCCAAGCTCTGAACCCAGCAACGTGACTCCCAGCCTGTGCTTGTAACCAGTATGTAACACTGCCTTTCGTGAATAAGGACAGGAAGAAATCGTACCCTGGAGACAGCAGCTATTTCCTTTCTCTATTTGCTGACTTTCTATCTCTGTTTCCTCTAGTCCCTCTCTCTTTATGTTTCCCTCTGCCTTGCTTATGTCTCAGGTAAGGAGTGATAAACACTCCTAAAGGGTGTCTGGCATTGGAAGGGTGCTCAGAAAGTCATCTGCTCCCGAGGCAAGATGTGGAAACAGGTTACAGTAAAGATCATAAACACAATTCCCCATAGCACAAAATATTCTTAAGCATGAAGATACTTCCTTTAAGCAATAAAGCATACATCAACATTCCAGTAAGATCAGAAATTCAGAATAAAATATTGGTGACGACCGTAATTGATGTTCCTCAGCCCATTTCTCTTCCTCCACCACAAGATTTCCTTGTTGATCTTATGTTCCTCGTTTTAACTGTACCTTCAGGCTAATGGCAGTCAGACGTTCCCATCCAGATGTGCCATATTTAAGCTGAACAAACCCAGAGCTGGATGCAGACTGCCTTCCCACCCTCCCCCAGTTCTGTATGTCCTTCCTGAATTTCCTCCTGGATGTAGTGGAACCACTGTACCCAAGCTGAGACACGGCGGTCTCTATATCACTGCCCACATCAAACCATTCTGTCAGCTTCACCTCCCAAATACACTCCTTCCCTCAATTCCTGCTGCTACTGCTGCGTTCAGGCCTGGATCACCTCTCACTTGGACTATTTTGAGAACCTTCTCAGTGGGCTCCCTGCTTCAGAGCTATCCACCATAATGCAAATATGTGAAAATCTGTGGCCCTCCCCTGCTCTGAGCCTTGCTGTAATTCCCTACTGCACTCAGGGTAAAAGCTCATATTCCTCATCCCAGCACCCATCCAGCCTCCAAGCCCCCTTGTCTTTTCCAGCCCCCGTCCTTTTAGTGCTCACCTCTGCATCCTGTTAATATGGGGTTCTCTAGGCCTAAATAAACTGCCAGTTCACTAAGCTTGAAAAATATGCAGGATTTTGATTTTTAAACAACAGAGTAATACTCCTCTAGATCACATGTAAGTTATAATTTCAAATTTACTATGAAAAATAAGTCTTAACTTTTTTTTCTATTGCAGTAAAAGTCATTTTTTTAAAAAATAAGTAATAATGCTCCATTAAGAAATGAGAAGGGGAAAAAGTTGTTTAAGGCCCACCATCTTTTTTTTTTTTTAATCAAGAACTGAGTTATTCTATTTCCATTGTGGCAACTGGCACCAGAGGTCTAAGCAGTTAAGGACTGCATACACATCAGGATGTAATCAGGGATATAAGCACCAGCCTTAGATCAGGGGCCTGGTTAGGCAGGTGATGGAAGAGCTGAGAAGCCAGAGCACGGTAAGCAAGCCACAGACAGCCTCCACGAGGTCTAGTTAGAAGGATGAAGGGTGAGGGCCATGAGCTCAAGAGCACCCACAGCAGGCAGAGCCGTAGGTAAGATGCATCATCAGAGATGCTGCCTGACAGGGCACAGAGACTCCTGAGTCGAGGAGGCAGGGCTGAGAGTCTGGGAGCAGGATCGAGAACCACTGGGGAGAGAACTATACAGAGAGAGCTGCCTTTGCAGAGGGCTCCCCTCCAGACTCCAACTGCGTACTGACCAACACCTGCAGGTGAGGAAACTACCTGAGGCCAGGGCAAGAACCACCCGAAAGGATCAGAGGGAACAATCTCCAAAGCTCACACAAGATGCTGTGAGAGCTAGGGTTTTTTCCCCCTCTCCCCTCCTCCCTCTCATCTTCCACCTGGGCCTCTCACCAGCCTGGCGGTTACCAACCTTGGCTGGAATGACTGGGCACACTCCCAGAGAGCCTGACGTGACTGTAATTGGTCTAAGTGCAGCCTGAGCATTAGGAGTTTTAAAAGCCCTCCCTGTGAGTCTAGTGGGTGAGCCACTGCAGGAGCTGAACCCAGGTAGAAGCCAGGAGACTGGGAAAAGCAGCCGGAGGAAATCAGAGTCCTGCCATGCAAGGTGAGGAGGGGACCAGCAAATATGGCACCAAGGGGTAGGCAGAAACAGGGGAGGGGATAAACACCATCTTCTCTAAATCCTTCAGTGGGCAGCTCAAATTGGGCTTCCCTGATCACCCCAGCTGCAGTTTCCTCACTCTTCTAATGCTGTTGCTATTCCTCCAACAACAAAACGTTTACCCTGCACTACCTCCCGTGGGTCCTCAGCAGGTAGCCCAAGCATCTTGCTACCTGTTCTGGGACTTCCTGCAGTGCCCACCAGGAAAACCTGTGTGTTCCTCCTCTTCCTACCTGCATCATGCATTTCCTTCTTTCCCTAATGGACTGGTGAGCTCATCTGGATACCTAGCTGCTCAATTCCTACTAGTAATTAATAGCTAATGATGGTTACTATATTACCCCTTCCAGATAACATTTGCATGACAAAACTGACCTCGAGTATAAGAATTTCAGGGCAAAGTCAGAGTTGCTTGGGTAGACTTTTGTGTGTCCCTTAAACTATAAATAAATTTGAATCGAATAACATAGGTGATGGCCTAATACTGAATAGTTTTGTTTTACAAATTTACAAATGATTAATTTCAATATATTTTGATCACAACCCTACTCATGGCTGTTGAAACATTTGGCAAGGTGAATACAGCCTTAAGATGTATTTATATCTCTAGCTAAAGAAACCTAGTTATCATCATTACATATATTAGCCTAGAAATATACTTGCTGTAAATTCCAAAGTCTTGTGATTTTAAATCAAAAGAAATTTACTTTTTTAAAGTAGAAACAGTAAGCATTACCCTATTTGCCTGAGAAAGCTACTTTCCAGAGGGGACAAAATCCAAGGTCAAAATCAGAAATCATTTACTCTGTGTGTGTGTGTGTATGTGTTTAGACCGACAGATAGGTTATTCCCTGCAAAACTGGACCCAAACTGTAGAACAGTTAAAATAGTAAGTGATTCAAAATTGGACATGCTGTTTTAAAAGCTGTTTTCTGGCATGACTGTTTCTTCCCTATGAGTCTATATAAAGAATTTGTGAAAATCCACTTTGGACTACATTAGGATAGTTACCACTTTTGTGGTCGTGCTGACTCCTAGAAACAAACTCCCACAAGACAGCCACAGAATACTGCAAAAACATGCATGCAGACCTAAGGGCCACAGACGGATCTCTCCTTATGATCCTACAAGGAAAACATAAAGACTCTGAATGCACAGAAAGATGACTTCTCTTCATCAACTATTTAATGCATGATATTCTTCCAAAGAAAAGTTCAAACTGTCATCCCTGCAAATTTAAACCCTCAAATCTCAACCACCACCTACCTGAGCTCCCAACATTCTCACCAAAAGAAACATACCCATTCTACCTGAACACGCGGACATAATCTTACTTCAACTATCAGAATCTTTTAAAAATAGTTAAGACAATACGTTTTAATGGACAGAATAAAAACCCAAAAGAGGTAAATGACCACAAACTGATGGAATCCCAGTAGGCTCTTGGAAGCAACAATGTGACCACAAGAGCTTTCTTCTTCCGTCACATCATTAAGGAAGGGGAAAAAAGATGTTCTTGTACATAAAACTAGAAAGTTGAGGTCAAGTGAGCCATTGGTTTTTAAGTAATGGGTTACCAGTAATACTTAGAAACAAAACACAAGTAGAATTCACATAATTACCAAAATTAATAGTAAACATGCCGGGATTTTATCATGAAAATATATACCTCAGACAAAAGGCAGATACATAAAAGAAACCACTTTTCTTGACATGTGAGAAGAATCTAACAATTTATCTGAAAATAAAACCTATATGCATTCTCCTCACTAAATCAACATTCAATTAACAGTACTGAGTGATTAAATCATGGTATCTAGGAACTCCACTCACTGGACCTAACAGCATACCTTTCTGAGAATAAATGGCTATGGTTTTTAAACATACTATTTTTCCATATCTGGGGTGAGATTCCGCTCATACAATTAGAGGATTGTCTAATTCATCACAGTCAATCCACACAGCACAGAGAATGTAAACGTGACGCGGACAAGATTAAAGGACATTCCAAGTCCTTAATATCATATGACTCTTTTCAGATTGGTCCCACTGAATGTGCCTCAGGGACTCTGTGGCTCTGGGAACCGTCCACACACAGTGCCTGACTTTGTTTAATGACAACAAAGGGGTCAAAGATTTGAGAAAGAGAAAGAACAGGACACAGCCTCCCAAAGCAAAACCAAACCAAACAAGGAAAAATATTCACAATTGCATGGGGAAAAGAATGGTTGAAACTTTAAATTAGAAAATATTTCTTCAGTTAGTCAAAGGGAAATTAAGGAAAAAAAGATCAATGTTTCTCAAATCTTGTGAGTATCTATTTCTCCTTTATGATTTCTCATAGAAACAGCAGGTTTAAAAATTACCACATACACACAAACACACACGGTCACTTTCTTTTTTAGTCACGGCAACTTCAGGTTTTAGGGACAAACGTGTCATACTTTCCTATGAAGTAAGATTGCTTGAGTGTAGCTGGATCTATGTTTCAGAGCCAACAGCAAAGCATTACTTAACAAAGCAAAGACTTACAAGGAGCAAAGTACTGCTCAAACAACTTCAGACAAACATTAATGATGAGAAACATTACACAAGAAACACCAGGTCTTTATAGGTTTTTCTGCCTATAAAGATTAGATGGGAAATTTTAGGTGGAAGATTTTTAAATGTCCCACATTTTCAAAGCAGACATAAATGCAGAGACTCATGTAATAATCAAAAAAAAATTATATAAGATTCTCTTCCATGCAATCTCATGGATTAGGAATTACGGTGGGTCACATCACAGCCTTACTAAATACAACAAACATCTTCAAACACCATGTATTTAAGGTCTATCTGTGTCAGCAAGTGGCTAAGAATAACAGAAGGCTGAAAAAACATAATCCTCTTTATCCACTTGAGCCCTTCTTCATAAATGCCTGAGACAGGTGGGCCCTTCAAGGTCTGCGGATAACACAGTTGACTGAATTGGTGCTCCTGTACTAGAAAACATTTACTGTAAGAGTCTCTTAGCACACAGAGCAGAAACAGCGTATTTGTTTGTGTGAGATAATCAAAGCAGGATAATCACTTCCTTTTATTTGTTTCTATTTTAAGAAGAAAGAGCAACAGAAAACCCCATTTCCACCCCAACCCTACCCCCAACACAAATGATAATATCCTTACATGTGCTCAAAGGTGCCATCAACTATGAAAAGATACAGTTCAATTTTTGAGGGGCAGCAACAGTAAGCGCCTTCTTACCTGATGTGGCCGATCAATTCAATAAGCTTGTGACTAAAAAAATAAGCCGTCAGCTCAGACACATGGCTCAGGACTGAACAGACCCCAAAGAGGGTTGTCGTTCCATTCAGGTCCTCCAAATGCCAGTAAAGAAAGGTGAACACGAAGCCGTACCCAAAACCCATAAACCAAGCCACGAACAGCACGGAGCCATACTGCACGCTGCAAAGCAGCCTGATTAAGTCCCAGAAGTTGAAGGCCTGCGAGTGGCTGGTGGTGGTTGGTGTCTCCTCCGAGGACTCCGTGGAGCTGTTCCTCTCCACCTGAGGGATCTCCACCTCTTTCCCTTTACTGTCACCATTTTTGAAGTGGTTGTAGCGAAACCGGAACTGAGTAGCGACGATCAAGGCCATGGTCATGAGAACCCCAAAGACGATGAAGACGATCTGGTAGTTTCGGTACTCAGGGGGCTTACACCCCTTCCCGTCGATGAGCACGTCTGTGTGGGTGTAGTCAATGCCGATGCCCACGGACAGCATCGCCAGGCCCCAGCCCAGGGAACCCCACATGCGCTGCAACCCATAGCGGTCTCTGTGCTTTCCCAGATACTGGAGGGTCACCGTGTCCACAATCGTGACGGAGGAAGCACTGAAGAATTCTCCTATTATGACAACTACCAAGATCACTAAGAATATAGCTTCTACTTCTTGTTGATCATAAATAAGAGTGACTTGGTCAGAAAGTAAAGATTTGGCGGTAGTGACAATAGAGGTCGTTGTCTCCCTGGTTGCATTTCCTGGGGGCACAGAGGTTGCAGTGCCTGGGTTCGAGGTCAAGTCCATGATATGGTCCGTAATTTCATCTGTCTGAGGCTGCAGAGTGGGCATGCTGGTCTTGTTCAGAGCTGTCGAGAAGATGACAGTTTCCGTGACATTGGGCCCTGCTTCTAACATCAGTGGCCCTTCATAAGGAAGCGGGTACCTTTTCTCACGAACTCTAGGTGATGTGGTAATGGAAGAATTTGTTGGCAGGACAGTGAACGGGGGACTTGAATTGGTGGGGCGAGCTGTTGGGGGAATCTTTGGTACACATCGCAAGGTAGCGGGTTTGACAAATCCAATGCCCAAGTTGAATAAAACCCAACACAAAAGAGAAAAGAGAAGGACGATCTTGCCTTTTTTAAAGCGATCTGCAACCACACCCCAAAACGGGGCACTGCAGAATTCAATGAAGTACCGAATACCCACGAGCAGCCCGCTCTGGCTTGGTGACATTCCCAGCTGCTTATAATACACCGGCAGAAGTGGGTAAAGAGAGCCATACGCAGAGTAAAAGAAAAAATAAAAAACCTTGGAAATTAGAAGATCATTGTTTATTTTAACGCAGTGTTTCTCTATCCAGTCTATTTCCTCCTCAGGAAGAGCAGCTGTTTCACTGGGGGAGGGCGTTTCATTTGAAGGTGCTTCTGGTTCCCTGGAAATACCATTAAAGGGGTCGGCAAGCACATATTTTCTCTTCTGTTCCTCTTCATCATCGGTTAAGATGGCAACTTTATCATCCGTCGCCATGGCTTACCACCACCATCAGAAAGTTTAGGACCTTCAAAATGTTGGTGGTTGATCTGTAAAGTAAAATGTAAAAGATGGCTTAGTATGAAAATGGTTACATAGAGGTTCATTTTGCAGGAAACGGAGGGATTTCAAACTACAACTGAAAACAGTAATTGTAAGAGAGAACTAACACCATTTATCACTTGCAGCCATACAATACTGATAAAGAAAAATAGCTTTCAAAAAGTCAAGTACTCTTTGTGGCCACTGGCTGACTTAATTACATCTTCTAATTGGCAGGTGTATTACTCAGGTACATTCTCAATCTTTTTATTGATTTCTAGGGAAAAGTGTACAAATGACAGGGATTATGTCCAAACCAAACAGAAGGAATTGAAAGTAAATAGTATTTATAGTTTCTTGGTTTTAGTTTGCTAACAAATCCACTGCACTGTGAAGTCTAGAATTCTTAGAAAATAAAGGTAGCTAAAACCCATTCAGTTTCTAGGGGGAAACAGAAATAAGCTCTTAACCCCAACCACAAATGTGATGAGAAAGCGAGAGCCAACTGTATGTTCGCTACTGTATTTGGTCACTATAGCCATGACAAAGATACCCTGGCAAGGAAGTAGTTTTTATTCTGCTTATATCACATACATTTTCCAGAAGTGCTTTTATGGGTGCAGTTCAAGAAAATATCAGGAAACAAAAAAAGAAGATAGCATTTATTGAGCATGTACTGTATGCCAGGCAATATTTAAAGATCGGTAAGTGTATTAATTCATATGCATCGCAATATCCCAATTATCCTCTCCATTTCACATATGAGAAAAATGAGGCAAGGGGCGTTTAAATAACTCAGATGTGGGCAGAGCAAGAATTTGAACCCTAATATTACGGCTTTAGGATACATGCTCTAACGCACCATGCTAAACTGCCAAATACCACATTTTGGATAATAAAGTGCTATTAAACCTTTTTATGAGACAAGATGTTTCATATGAAAGATAAGCAGTATATCAAAGGCATAAATTCATAGGGACTATGCCACATTCTACCAGAGTTTCCCTTTCTTCTATTAAAAAAATGATTAAAGAGTCAAAAGGTCTTGCTTGCATCAAGACTTGTCAAGTTGTAACAAATACATTTGGATGTAGGAGGTATACACATTACATACTTTGTAATTCCTTTCATCTTCTTTACTAGAAATAACACCACTTGTCACCCCTTGGAAGTGCTCCCCCTTTTTCCCAAAATGAAGAATAAATTTCTCAATCTTCCTGGATCATGCTTGTAAACATTTTAAAATCTCTACATAGCTCCTAGGCAGACAATAGAGACATAACTTAATGAGGCCTGTGTAATAAGTTAACGAAAGCCAGGTGTCAGCGTAGCTATAAGCTTTGAAAATGTTCATGTATTTCTTTTTTTTAGGTTAAAACCTTGTTTCACTTGAGATAAAATTCATACAACATAAAATTAACCACATTAAACAATTCAGTGGAATTTAGTATACTCACAGTGTTGTGCAACTAACTCATCACCTCTATCTAGTTCCCAAATCATTTTTCTTAATAAAAAGAAAACCTTTTTGCCCCTCAAAAAAACTTGAAGGAAAAGCAAAATCCAATCCTTTGCTGCCAAGATAAAAGATTTCCCTCAATATTCTATACTTATTTTTCTTCCATCATTACTGTCTTCACCTATCCATATCAACAGCTCCAATTCTATTTTATCACATAAGAAGAACAGTAATTCTCCTTTGGACTTCTTTTCTAAATTAATTTTGTTTTTTGAACTTGAAAGAAATACTTGTTTTTAAAATGTATAAAATTATACGACCCTTCTGGAGAAAGATGGCACATTGAGAGCATTTGGTTTTACTCTATCCCTAAACCCCACTAAAATGACACTACACACACACACACACACACAACACACTTTTAAAGTCATAATCCAAGCTGGGAAAATTAAAGGGCATTTAATTTAATTAATTAATTAATTAAAAGGCATAATAGCAGTAAAATAAAATTCTGGAAGCCAGGACATAGTTAGACAACTGGTAAATAACTCAGTAAATCTAAGAAAGCTGAAACTTCGGTTGACAGTGGGGAAAGCCAAGAACTAATACAATTTACTCCTCAGAAGCCCTCAAAGGCCATAGGATTGGCCATATTAGGTTTATCTGCAAGTAAGAGTGTGTGTGTTTGAGGAGAGGGTACTGCTAACAGTAGAGTTAATTGAAAGTCTAGATCCCAACTCAGAATGCCCAGTCCCCTTCACCACTCCACACACCTAGTCAAACAACTAGAGCTGTTTCCCTCTGGAGCGGATAAAACAGAGGTTCTTGCATCATAGAGCACCACGTAAAGTTGAGAGTGGGGTGCCATACTGAAAACAGAGACATTAAGGAAACAAACACACCCTAGGTTCAAGCCCTGGCCCCGCCCCCCGCCCCCTGCTCCCATCCCACCTTTCTCACTAGGTTCCCAAAGGCTGGCAAGAACTGGAAGGTTCTTCCCTGGAGAATCTGACTAACCCAGAAGAAGTCACTTCTCAATACTGATATTGAAGCCTCCCCAACTAAACAACCCAACCAAATCACTCTGCACAGGAGATCAGAGTCATCAAGAATTGCCACTAAACATGAGCAGTCACCAAGAATAACACGACAGCTGAGAAAGTCTCTTGCAGGCAAGACAGAACCAAAACAAAGAGGAAAAACAATCCACATGGAGAAAACAGAAGCCATGTGAGGAGGAAAACATTTCTTCAATGTATCATTAATCGCTTCCGAAGTAGGAAAAGAAATGCAACCATGAAACAAAAATAGGATAATATATATTTTTAAAGGAGTAGGACGAGAAGGAAAAAGGGATAAAAGGAATGTTCGAACAGAAAAGAGATAGAAAATGTGTTACAGAAAAAAGCACAAATGAAAACTTAAGAGATGATGTGAAAGGAAAATTTGAGGCAACTTCTTAGAAAAAAAGAAAAAATTGCATCAATAAACAGATAACTCTACCTCACATCATAAACAAAAAATTAATTACAGATGAACTGTATATCTACCAGTAAAAGATAAAACAACATAACTTTTAAAAGAAACCATGGACACCAGAGGAAACTGGCACAATATTTTTTTTAAAGGCTGAAAGAAAAGGATTGTCAAGCCAGAATCCTGTAACTAGAAAAATGACAGTCCAAAAACCAGAAAGCTACAGACCAATATCCCTTATAAACATACCCACAAAAATCCTTAACAAAATATTAGAAAAGAAAATTTAGCCAATAAAAAAAGAATTGTGCACTATGATCACGTGGGATTTATTCCAAGGACGCAAGGCTCATGTGATATTTGAAAATCAATCAATGTAATCCATCATATAAACAAGCCAAAGGAGAAACAAAAGAGTCATGATCCTATCAATCAATGCAGAAAAGAAAGCATGTGACAAAATTAAACACTCATGCATGAAAAGTTGCAGAAAAACAGCAATAAAGGGGAACTTCCTCAATTTGATAAAGATCACCTACCAAAAACCTACACATAACACTACACTTAATGGTGAAAGACTGAATGCTTTTTCTCTAAGATATAGAACAAGGGAAGGCTGCCTGGTCTCACCATTCTATGCAACTTAGTGTTGGAATTTCTAGCCAGTGCAATAAGGAAAGAAAAGGAAACAAAAGGCACATAGATCAAAAAGGAAGAAACTGTCTCTCTTTGCAGTTGGCATGACCGCCTATATAGGAAGTCCCAAGAAATCTACAAAAGCTTCTTGAGGCAAGAAATATTTCAGTATAAGTTAACAAAACATGTACAGGACTATATGCTGAAAACTACAAAATGCTAATAAAAGAAATTAAAAAATCTAAATAAATGATAGCCATACCATGTTCATGGATTGAAACATTCAACACAGTAAAGACTTCAGTTATCCTTGAATTTATATACAAGTTTAACACAAACCCTATCAAAATCTCAGCAAGACTTTTATGTAGATATGGGCAAGACTATTCATAAATTTATATGAAAAGGAAAGGGAACTAGAATAGCTAAAGTAATTGTGGGAGAAAAAAAGATTCATTACTTAGCTACATACTAATCAAGACTGTGTGGTACTGGCAGAAGATTAGACACATAGATCACTGGAACAGAATAGAGAGCCCAGGAATAAATCCACACAAATAAGCCCAAGTGATACTTGGCAAAGAGGCAAAAACAATTTAATGGGGGAAGGTAACCTGTTCAACAAATGGTGCTGGTGCAATCAGACATCCTCAGACAAAAAAATGAATCTCAACCTAAGTCTCATACTTTATATGAACAGCCACTCAAAATGGATCATGGATTTAAACATAAAGTAAAACTAAAAAACTTTAAAGGGAAAAAAAAAAAACCTAGGAGAAAATCTTCAGGTCCTAATGCTAGGCAAAGAGTTCTGGGATTTAACACCAAAAGCATGATTCATAAAAGGAAAACTTGATAAATTTGACTTTATCAAAATTACAAACTTTTGCTCTGTGAGTTTACTAACAGAATGAAAAGACAAGCTACAGACTGGGAGAAAATTTTTGCAAGCCACATATTCAACAAAGGGCTAGTATCCAGAATATGTAAAGAATTTTCAAAACACAACAGTAAAAAAAAAAAAAAAACCCAAAAAATCCAATTAGAAAATGAACAAAAGACATGAAGAGACATTTTACCAAAGAGGAGACACAGACTAGACAGATGCTAATAAACATATGAAAAGATGGTGTCATTAACCACTGGGAAAATGTACATTAAAAATATGATGTATCACTACACACCTATAAGAATGGCTAAAATAAAGAGTGACAGCAAATTCTGACAAGGATAAAGAGCAGCTCAATCACTCACACATTACTGCTGGGGACGTAAAATGGTGCAGGCACTCTGCAAAGCAGTTTGGCAGCTTCTTACAAATTGTAACGTGTGACTACCATATGACCCAGCAACTGCACTTCTGGGCGTTTATCCCAGAGAAGTGAAAACTTATTTCCACACAAAAGCCTGTACAACAAATGTTTATAGAAGATTTAT